GTGTTCAATACTTATTTTACCCGCTGTAAAACAAAACTGCTTTTGGGTGACTGATATGACTGATGAATTCATTTGAGATAAGTGATGATTTTAAGCACATTTTTTAAAACTACAGTTCATTACAATACAATTCTATGTGTAGAAACGTTTTAATGAAGGGAAAAAAATACTGAGTGCACCTTTGAAACAGAAAGCAGCAGCTTTGTGTATATGTCAACTTAGATTATATAACTGAAGTAAAATATCAGATATTAAAGAAGTGTAAATAAACGGATAAGCCCATTTCTGACATAAAAAAAATAGTGCTTTGGTAAATCATAATTTTGACAAAATTATAGGAAGTCATTATGGGATAAAAACTCAAAATTATGACAAAAAGTCCACATTGACATACTAAGTTATGGAAGTCGAAATTGACATACTAAGTCACTTATGAGATAAGTCATAATTATGGCCTCATAGTCATTGTAGACTTTATAGACATCAGTCAATTATAGACATTATAGACTTTGTCAATAGCCCTATTCGCACGGGATTAGTATTACCTGGGGACCTCTAGTCATTTGTAATAATTGTGGAGGTTGTCTGTGATCTTAATCCTGTGCGAATCAGTTATGTCTGTAATTTCTAAAGTAAAAATTCCCCTGCAAATGACCTACCATATTTCGCCGAACACCGAGGTCCTGTGATAATATTAGTCCCGTGTGAATCGGCATCTCTGTAATTTGGCCTGAATTTGGTGGGGTCGTTTATCATTTTTTCAAGGTTTTTGTTTCCTGTGTGCCTTTTTATCCATCTTTCGTGAAGAATGGAGGCTGCATTTGAGTGTTTTGATAGTATTTTGGGTGCTGGGTCATATTGCTATACAGGGGTGGTTCTAAAACTTCATCCACAGGCTGGCTGAGCCTTCATTTCTAAATCACACGAGGTCCCCAGATAATAGTAATCCCGTGCGAATAGGGCTAATGTTGACTTAATTCACAATTGTGACTTACTATCTCATAATTTCAACTTTTTGTCATAATTGCTTTGTATCTCATAATGACTTTTAATGTCATAATTATAATTTACTAAAGCTTTTTTTTTTGTGGCAGAAATGGTACAGGATGAGATAAACGTAACATCTGTAAACATCTATGAGCTAGTGTCTGTGTAGTGACACATATGTAGATTCTAATATCACCTGTGAAATACAGCATAGTGTTAAATGCTTCAATGGCAGGTTAGCACAAAGGTATTTATTAAGTATATATGATTAGCTTACAAGATTATTACTTCAGGGGCGTTGTGTATTGTGGTAGACATCTATTAATGCTTTGCTCCCATTTGGGATATTGTCATTGTTTCATAAAGCCACCAGACATCCTCTGTGTCTCTGTAGTTTGCTCTTTGTGGAAGTGTTTAACATGCTGTTGTAGACATATTAACTTGACTGTGTGTGTATGTGTGTGTGTGTCACCTTGAATTGTTCTGGGTGGTGTACAAATGGTTGGGTATATATGAGTGTGTGTGCCTCCCCATGAACACGCATATGTGTGTCTTTGTCATGCTGAAAAAGGGCCTCCAAAACACTGAAGATAACGCCAGGATTTCAATCACGTTCTTTCGGCTGTTCCGCGTGATGAGGCTGGTGAAGCTTCTGTCTCGGGGAGAGGGCATTCGGACGCTGCTCTGGACCTTCATTAAATCCTTTCAGGTGAGGAGAATGAAATGAAACAGCACTTTCTTGTGTAATTGTACAGAGATAGTTGTACTGTGGTCCAGACTTTATGCCTAAGTCAAAGTCAGGCTTTGTGAGCAATTAAACACCAGAAGACAATCTACAGACTAACAAACAAGTTTGTGTTATTATTATATGACTACACTGGATACAAGCAGCATGTTGTGACAATAAATTGTTAATTTGCATTATATTTAACAAAGCCATCTACATGGCATGTGCCTCTAGTCGACTGATGTCGACTAGACTTTATTATCCTTTGGGGTCAGAAAGATTTTAAAATAATAATAATAATAATAATAATACTTTTATTCAGCAAGGATGCATTAAAATGATCAAAAGTGACGGTAAATAAAACACATTTCATTACACCAAATACATAACATAATGTGCTTTTTAGCAACATCATATGACCCCTTTAAACTTTATATTCGTAAAAAAAAATATGCATTAATGTTTCTACAAAAGTATTAAGGGTTTTCAACATAATAATAATCACAAATGTTTTTGAGCACCAAATCAGCATATTAGAATGATTTCTGAAGGTGTTTTACTCTATTTTGGATCAAATAAATGCAGCCTTGCTGGACTTTCAAAAATCTTACTGACTCTAAACTTGTTATTGTGCCAAAAAAAACATGCATGCATTAAATTTTATTTATCTTATATTTTAATAAAAATTTATATTAAAGAAATGATTTTAAATGATATTTTATTTAAAAAAAATTTTACTTAAAAAATCTCTGAATGAAAAAGAAAACTTTTTCTGCTATATTCCTGCATTTTTTGCATTTGCTCTGTATATTTAAGAGTTCCTCTTTTCCCTTCTCCTTCTCCCTCGGTTTGTTCACAGGCTCTTCCCTATGTTGCTTTGCTGATCGTAATGCTGTTCTTCATCTACGCCGTCATTGGGATGCAGGTCAGACCCAGCTTCATTTGCTTCACACTCTCTCCTCATCTTCCCCAAGGAAATGTCTCCATGTCTGTTACAGCTCCTGTACTTGTAACAACTTGGACATGTTGGTGTGGAGCGATTCGTGATGGGTAATGTTTTTCTGACTCCACAGATGTTTGGTAAGATTGCCCTGAGGGACCACAGCCAGATCAACCGAAACAACAACTTTCAGACGTTTCCTCAGGCTGTTCTGCTGCTCTTCAGGTCAGTTTCCCTCTTGCTTTCTCTCTCTCTTTCTTTCACTCATTTGATGTCTCTCTCTCACATTGAGCTTGTGCATTTCTGTAGGTGCGCAACAGGGGAGGCATGGCAGGAAATCATGCTGGCCTGTTCCCCGAACCGCCCATGTGAGAAGGGGTCAGAGGTCGGCCATTCCAGTGAAGACTGTGGCAGCCACTTTGCCATCTTCTACTTTGTTAGCTTTTATATGCTTTGCGCCTTCCTGGTGAGTTGACATCGATATTCCTTCCCAGTAAGCAACTGTGTTATTGTATATCAGCTGTGAAATTTGCTGTGAAATCATCTCCACCAGCATGACATCCTTTACCCCCTCCGTACAATGTTTACCGTATCCATAATAACAGAAGCAGCGGGTTTCCCTAGCACAAGATGATTCAGATGCTTCCTCTCCCACAGATCATTAACCTCTTTGTGGCCGTCATCATGGACAACTTTGACTATTTAACACGTGATTGGTCGATATTGGGGCCGCATCACCTAGATGAGTTTAAGAGGATATGGGCAGAATACGATCCTGAGGCCAAGTCAGTCACTTCCTGTTTTGCTATCTTTAACAGTTGCAGTTTCTAGATCTTATTATTAATAATTCTAGATTATTTATTTGTAGCGACTGAAACTGAGATCTGAGTTTAATGTGATTGCAGGGGTCGGATAAAGCACCTGGATGTGGTGACGTTACTGCGCAGGATTCAGCCTCCCCTTGGATTTGGAAAGCTTTGTCCACATAGAGTGGCATGCAAGGTACAAATCCTAAAATGTACTAATTCTGTAGTGTGTTAGACACATTACTTGACTTACTTTATCTGTGCATCTGCAGCGGCTTGTGTCCATGAACATGCCTCTCAATAGTGACGGGACGGTGATGTTCAACGCAACTCTCTTTGCTCTAGTACGAACGGCTCTACGCATCAAAACTGAAGGTGTGATAGTGTCATACATGCAAATACAGTTCATAAACACGCATAAATCTAATACACATCCCAACTTGTATGCACAGAAAAGTCACCGTTTGTATGTGTTTGTGTCAGGTAACTTGGAGCAAGCAAATGAGGAACTCAGAGCCATCGTGAAGAAGATCTGGAAGAGGACGAGCATGAAGCTGCTGGATCAAGTTGTTCCCCCAGCTGGAGGTGGGTGATGGCAAAAGGTCAAAGGTCGACCAATTACATACACTACCATTCATAATTTTGGGGTTGGGGTTTTTAGTGTTTTTGAAAGAAGTCTCTTATGCTCACCAAGGCTGCATTCATTTAATCAAAAATACATTAAAACAGTACTATTGTGAAATACTATAATTTAAAAGTGTTTTTCTGTTGTTATATACTTGAAAATGTAATTTATTCCTATGATGGCAAAGCTGGAAATATGCTGATTTGGTGCTAAACATTACTTAATATTATCAGTGTTGAAAACAGTCGTTGCTTAATATTTTTGTGGAAACAGTGATATATTTTTATTTAAGTTCTATGAATAGAAAGTTCAAAGGAACATTGTTTATTTTAAATACAACTCTTTTGTAGCATTATACAGTTTTACTGTCACTTTTGATCAATTTAATGAGTCCTTGCTGAATAAAACCAGAGTGTGTGTGTGTGTTTCCTTGCCCAACAGATGATGAAGTAACCGTTGGGAAGTTCTATGCCACATTCCTGATTCAGGAATACTTCAGGAAATTTAAGAAGCGCAAGGAACAGGGCCTGGTTGCCAAGATTCCCCCAAAGACTGCTCTTTCACTGCAGGTGGGTCCATTAGATCATCAGCTATAACAGAAAAATTTATTCTGTTTGCATATGAATGTGCCTGTTTGTGTGCTGTGACCAGGCTGGCCTGCGCACACTGCATGATATTGGTCCTGAGATCAGAAGAGCGATATCAGGAGACCTGACTGTGGAGGAGGAGCTGGAGAGAGCCATGAAGGAAACCGTGTGTGCTGCTTCTGAGGATGATATCTTCAGGGTAAAGGTCTGATATTGCCTCTTATTTCCTCTCCTCCGCTCTGCTCACATCATCGCTTCTGCTGCCGGAGCTTCTGCCCACCTGCATGGGACCATCAGCCAGATCTTCCAACCAGGCTGCGAAGGGTCACAGAGCTGCTTGTTTAGATTCATCGCTCAGCATTGAGGGCTTCAAATTATTTTTTTCATTTGTTATTAGGACAACAAAATCATTTTGTTCATATTAGGTTCATGAATGTGTCAAGTTTTACAAGCTTGTAATCTAAAAAGTGTCTGAAACCATTAAGGAACAGTGCTTTGCCCTCATCACACAAATCAGATGGTTATAAAATTAGTTAAATTAATAGTTAAATTATTAAAAATTAGCCATCAGTGATGTTAAAGTACATTCATTGACCATTTAGAAAAATCAAAAAAATGGCTGCTGTCTGAATGTAAGTGCAGAGTGAACAGAGGAAGTGAAAGTGTTTGTGTTCTCAGTGTGTGTGCGTCTGTATGTATGTTTATTTGCGTCTGTATGTTCATTTACCGTTTACCTTGGTATTAACATTCGCGTTAGTGATCCAATCACAAGCAAACACTAAATACAGCTGAAAAAGTGATGTAATGCATTCCAGAAGCGTATTGAAAGCTAAATTCTCAATCCACACATATGGCCACATTATACACCAGTATGACAAGAAAATGTCTTGTTTTAGAAGAATCTAACTATATATTCTGCCGGCCTCCGTGACAGACAAAGAGCTGGTCTGAGGTCCTGAAGCTTTGCGTCCGGTCTACGTAGCATAATGCATTCCAGAAGCGTATTGAAAGCGTATTGAATTCTCAATCCACACATATGGCCACATTATACACCAGTATGACAAGAAAATGTCTTGTTTTAGAAGAATCTAACTATATATATATGTATATATATATATATACAATATACGTATATATTTGCTCATGACACTTCAAATTAACAATTATCATTGCAAGTGAGGGATTTTAGGTACAAGGCTATAACAAAATATAAATTTTTGTTATGTTGAGATCTCAAGAAAATCAAGTCAAGATCATGCGAAGAAAAGCAAGACAAAAATATGAATAGGACGTAGTGCTTAAATGAAAATTCTGTCATTAATTACTCACCCAAACCTGTTCCAAACCCATAAGACCTTTGTTCATCTTCCGAACACAAATTAAGATATTTTTGGTGAAATCCGAGAGTTTTCTGACCCTGCATAGACAGCAACGGAATTACCACGTTCAAGGTCCAGAAAGGTAGTAAGGACATCATTAAAATAGTCCATGTGACATCAGGGGTTCAACCGTAATTTTATGAAGCTACGAGAATACTTTTTGTGTGCAAAGAAAACAAAAATAACAAATTTATTCAACAATTTCTTCTCTTCCGCATCAGACTTAATACGCGTTCACGATAGTACAACGATGCATGCGTGTGCATTCCTCTGCTTGTAAACAAGGCGCAGCACATGTGGGTTCTACGTCAGAACGCCAGCTTCTGCGTCAGCAGCATCACACATGCGCCGTGGTACTCTTGTGAACGCGCGGTGGAGACTGAAGCGGAAGAGAAGAATTGTTAAATAAAGTTATTGTTTTGTTTGCGCACAAAAAGTATTTTCGTAGCTTCATAAAATTAAGGTTGAACCACTGATGTCACGTTGCTGTCTATGCAGGGTCAGAAAGCTCTCGGATTAATCAACAATATCTTAATTTGTGTTTTGAAGATGAATGAAGGTCTTACAGGTTTGGAACGACATGAGGGTGAGTAATTAACGACAGAATTTTCATTTTTGGGTGAACTATCCCTTTAATGCTTAGGGCTTCTGAATTATAAGAAGCTGTATGTAGTCATTGAAATCTACTGAAAAATCACTGGAGATGTTAATACCAGGTGTGAACGGGAAGGGATGATCAGGTTTGTGTAAATGTGAGCACTCATGTGTGTATATTTATCTTTGCAGCGGTCTGGCGGCCTCTTCGGTAACCACGTCAACTACTACCACCAGAGTGATGGCCACGCCTCCTTCCCACAGTCCTTCACAACACAGCGGCCATTGCACATCAGTAAATCCGGGAGTCCCGGCGAGGCAGAATCTCCCTCTCATCAGAAGCTCGTCGACTCCACCTTCACTCCGAGCAGTTACTCTTCCTCAGGATCCAACGCAAACATCAACAACGCCAACAACACAGCCATCGGACACCGGTACCCCAAACCTACCGTCAGCACAGTGGATGAACACACGGGGCCGCCCCTCACCACTGTCCCACTACCACGGCCCACATGGTGCTTTCCTAACAAGAGGTATGATGCCATATTCCTTCTGTAGTTGAATGCAGATGTGTGAGTTAGTGGGGAGACGTTCAGGTTTGTCAGAATCTGGTTCCTGATTTTGGTTTGTCTCGCCCTTGATTGTCTCGTGTGGACCAGGAGCTGTTTCTATGACACTTTCATGCGGTACGTTCCTCACACAAGAGAAACCTCATCACTTTGGAGGGCTGGCGTATGCTCTGTCCATACTGGGGTGGATCTGAAGCTAAATGTTTGCAACACACACTCTCAGTGTGTTGAGAGATCCACTTTATACATAACGTTAACTAGCAGGATCTGTGAGCGGCTTCTCTGATTGGCTGACAGCTGAATGAGCATGTGCTAGGCCAGTGGTTCTCAACTGGTTTTCCGTCAGAACCCAGATTTTACGCTCTCATCAACAAATCTTTTTTTTTTTTTTTTTAAGTTTTGTTCTTGGTTTTTCTTAATGAAAAGGGTATGTGAAACAACATATTCATGTTGGCATCTACAAAATATGGACTGTTGTATACTAAAACTTTTAAAAATTATTTCAATTCATTGAAATAAAGCTGAAATAAAATATAACTTTAAAACTGCTAAAACTGAAATAAAAACAAAGCTCAGTATAAATATATATATATATATATATATATGTGTATATATATATATATATATACAGTA